TAGAAAGTCCATTGGGCAGCATGCATGTGTATTTACACCATGAATACACTGGATGGGTGGGGATTTTCGGCTGTCTGTCAACCATGCCTGTTAGATATGCATATTTTAATTGAATTGATGTTTTTGAAATATTTTGTTATGAAATATTCTGACAACTAGTGCAATACTCTGACAGGGCATATTCTCTGAGACAAACAAAAGAAAACCTCAAAAAATAATTTATTCTTAGGATTATTTTTGTTGTATTTGTCGAGGGCACATTTGTAATAGTAATACATATTTTGGTTCTTCACAAATTTACAAAGCATTTCCAAAATATATCATTTTTCCCTCAGCCTTCTGATTTTGGTATCATTCTTATCCTCATTTAAGGATGAAAACAATCGAAGTCTAAAAGTGATAAATAATTTGCTGAAGTCAGATTCCAGCTTTCAGTCTAGATCGTGGCCTCCACATCTTGTGGCCTCTGCACTCCACCAGGCTTCTAGAAGAAGTCTTGGATGCAAGCATGATTCTGAGTTGCTGTAAACCTGAATTGTCAAACGACAAGTGTAGACATGGGAAGTGTGAATCAGCTCAATTGGCAGTGACTCTTGCAATGGCCCTTCCCCTTTTCTGTTTTGCAACAAGTGGGAGGGTGAAGAAGGCTCTATGAGGGCAGTGCCTAAGATATGCAAGAACCTGGCATTGGCCTTGATGATACCTGACTGTGCTTTCCTCTGTGCTGTCTGACACAGGTTTGTGGAGTATGATTTGCTGTGATGATTGTTTGCATTTTCCTCGATTATGTAAACCAGTAGCTTTTGCCAAGAACTCTCTGTGCCCGGAAGCTCCAAGCTGGTTTCCTCCCATTGGCTGACTTTCTTTCATTTGTTTCAAGTTGCAGAGCAGTGATAACTGCCAGTGTCTTTTGGGAGTGAGATACCTGGAGTTCAGGAACCCCAACCGGTGACAATGACAGCAGATGAGTTGGTTTTCTTTGTGAACGGCAAGAAGGTAAGCAGAAGCTGACCTTTGGTTTGGCTCCCACATCCTTGGCTGGAGATGTGTGTCACCTGGGGAGAGAGCTCTTGTTACTCTTGTTCTCTCTTACTCATTTTTTTTCTCTTTCTCTCTTTCCCTTCAAAAATGTTCCTGAATTTTTGGTAACATTGGGGAAAGGAAGCCCTCTCAGACTAGAATACAGGCAATAGATGTACAGGACAAAGGAGTGAAGGGAAAGGAAGCAGGAAGAGAATTGTGTGTGGAATCACTGCCACGTCTCTGCAGTGGTAGAGAGACTGGGGCTGAAACTGAAGGAAAAGGGACACAGTTCTAGATGAGACTGGACATCAACAAATATGCTTTGATTTCTGTCTTCCATCAAATATATCCTAATGCTTTGACAGCTCTCTTTACTGAGAGAAGGAACAGAACATGCTTGTTGCTAATGTCAGGATATGAAATGTACACAGCCTTTGATTCTAATATATGATGTATACTGTGTGAGGAAACATACTGACACCTTGTGGTAAGCCACAGTGCTTTTCCATAAAGAGCATTATCCCTTCTCCACCCCTCCCTGGCCCCGCTAAATTCTATATGTAAATATTACGTATTTCTTACCTTGATAAAAATCATCCACTTGAGTTAACTTCATTGATGCACTGAGACCCAGAAAAGGTGGGAAAGGGGCAAGGGCCATATGGCATGGGCCCCCGTCCTTGTGACACCACAAGGGTGAACATTTTTGCAAATTTTAATGCAAGTACAGATAGAGATGGGACAAACAGATTGCATCGTCTCCAGACCCCTTTATCCTCTAGTGTAGTGCCTAAGGCACTTGACTGCTAACCAGAAGGCTGGCAGTTCAAACCCACCAGCAATCTATTTCTCTAGTGACACTACCTCGGAAACCCAAAGAGGGTTCGCTATGAGTCAGGTTCAACTTGACGGCACATAGCAACACAACAACATCGTTGTTGAGGCGCTGGTATCTGCATCAGCTACCCTCTTGGGAATGAAAGGAACAGTAAAAAGGTAGCCGTAACAGCATACACAAGGAGATGTAGCACCCTAACCTTGTAATTGGCCGCACGGACAGTGTGAGCAGTCAATGTGCCCAGTGGGCCACAAAGAAGGACAATTTTACTTGTTTTGCTATATTCACATTTTTGGAGAATGAGAAACTAACAGGGTGACTATTGAGGTAATTTTCAAGAACCTAAAATATGCTTAATCAGACTTCTGGAAATAAAGAGGAAGGCCCTCAACAAGACAGACCGGCACAGTGGTTACAACAATGGACTCAAGCATAGCAACATTTGTGACAATGGCACGGGACTGGCCGAAGTTTCATTCTGCTACACATACAGAGTCAGGATGAACTCAGTGGCACCTAACGGCAACAAGACTTTTAGAACTTAGACTGTCAGAGTGTGTCTGAGTGACCAATAAGGCAATTTCATGAGCAATTTTAACATCAGTGCTTCTACTCTGATTCAGTCTGAGTGGGTGCTACCAGAAGTCACTGGGGAATAGGGTCAGTAGTGGTTTCCCAGGCTTGGAGTTCTTTCTCTTTGCTGCTTCCTTTTCAGGATTGGTGACATCTGGCGTCAAATCAAGAGGTAGGGCAAAGTGGCCAAGTTAAAAGTAGTCAGGCTTTTGCACCTAGCATTTCAAATAACTTTGTTGCATTCAGCAATTACGTTGTATTGATTTTTGGAAGTGTTTCTTACAAAAGTGCATCTTCTGTGGAATTTTGTAAGCAGTATTTAATTGGGTGAGAGGCAGAATTAAATGACTTTCAAGACCATGTTTAACTTTAAGATTTTTATTATCTCTTAAGCCCTCAATTCATGAGTGACAGTACAGGCATAACTCATTTTATTGCACTTCACAGATACTGATTTTTTCCCCCCACAAATTAAAGGTTTGTGGCAACCCTGTGTGGGGCAAGTCTATCAACAACATATTTCAAACAGTATGTGCTCACTTCATGTCACATTTTGGTAATTCACACTGTATTTAAAAGTTTTTCATATTATTTTTGCATACTAAATAGATGACAGTCTAGTGTACACTTAAGATGACAGTATAGATGACAGTATAGTGTATACCAACAGATTACTGTGACTTGTTTATAGTGGTGGTCTGGAACTGAATTCGCAGTATCTCTGAGGTATGCCAAGTAAAGTCCCTCCTCTTCTCTAGGGATGGTTTGCTATTATGCACTGCATCCAGAAAGGGGCATTGAGGTCAACCTGGCTTAGTGAAAGTTCTTTTCTCTTTAATTTTATTTTCACTTTAGAAAGGCTTTTTTTTTTTTTTTAATTTTTGGAGATAGTATCATCAAATCAAACCCTACCAACTCTGGAAGCTTCTGTGACCACCAATTTCTATGATGAGTATCCATGTTTGTTATTTATGTGACCTCTTGAGAAATTGGAAGCTCTGGTAACATAATTCCTAAGGCACTTGACTGCTACAACCAGAAGACTGGCGGTTCAAATCCACCAGCCACTCTTCAGAAGGAAGGTTGGGCAATCTATTTCCGTAGTGATACTGCCTTGGAAACTCAAGGAGGGGTTGCGATGAGTCGGGTCCGACTGGACGGCACATCACAACAACAACAACAACTTGAGAAACTGCCAGAAAGGTGAGAGGTAATGCAAAGAGTAATGAAGGCTACAGAGTCTTACAAAAACAAGACTAAGCAAGGGAATTCCTGGTGAAATAATGGCAACTATGAGTAAGTTTGCTGTCATGTCTCTTCCCAAGGTATGCTAGACCTTTTGTTGCAGGCTATTATGTAAAGAAGTTACCAAGGAAGTTACCAGAACTTGATGACTTACTCTTAAATGTGAGCCTGCTCCTTTCTTTGTTTTATGCCACTGTCCAGGTCTCTGTCTCCCCTGGCTAGAGCCTTGGAGAGGGTGCAAAATATGAAGAATTAAATATAAAAAATTAAACGTTGCTGTCAAATGTTTCTGGGGCCTTCTGTGGTGATGGTGCACCTTTGTGGCTATTGTTTTCACATCTTCAGCTCTAGTGTCAGAATCAAAGGGAAAGAGGGAGAGATCTTGGGCCGCCCAACATTTTATTACTATTGTAATCAGAGTCATTTTGGAGGGCTGGATTATTATTTTTCTGGGTAGTTATTCTCTGTATAGTGGAGATTGTAGTGTCTGGAGGAGTCTGGGAAGATTTGACATGTAGGATACAGCTAAAGGTGGTTAGGAGTGATCTTCAGCTACAGGTCTCAGCTACATAGAGCCTTGCAATGGCCCTCACTCACCCACCTACCTACCCACCCACCTACCCACTAACTCACTTACTCACTCACTCACCTATTCAACATTTATCAAGCTTCTTCTGAGGCTGAAGGCTATGGCATCATATGCACTGGAGGAATAAGATATCTAAGACAGGCTTTTGCCAGCCAGGAACCTCTGAACTAGTTGGACAGGTAGATCATGATTAGATAAAGTAGTATATTCCAAAATGTATTTCACAGAAAATTAGTCCCATGAAACACTCTTTCTGGATATTCTTAAACCACTTAGCACATTCTTGGTACTGAGTAGGTGCTCAATTAATATGAATAGACTGAATAAATGAATATTGAAGGTCACATGCTAAATAAATCCATTTTTTAAACTTTGTGTTTTTAAACTATTTCAAACTTGAAGGAAAATTGGAGGTAGAATACAAAGAAATATTAAATACAATTTACCCACATTCACCAATTGCTAACATTTTATCACATTTGCTTTCATTTCTCCTCCCCACCTAAATGCACACATATAAGCTTGTATATATTATAGGGGAGCTCCGGTGGTGTAGTGCCTAAGGCATCTGACTGCTAACCAGAAGGCTATATTTATTTATGCATATAATTAATATAGGGGAGCTCTGGGCAGAAGGCTGGCAGTTCAAACCCACCAGCCAATCCTAGGAAGGAAGGTTTGGCAATCTACTTCCGTAGAGATACTGCCTCAGAAACACAAGCAAGAGTTGCTATGAGTTGAATTGACTCAATTTTCTTTATCAACCATTTGAAAGTAAGTTGCAAACTTCATGTTTCTTTACCCCTAAGCACTTCAAAGTGTATTTTCCATCCATAAGAATATTCTTTTATAGAACCACAGTCCATTTACAGAGTTAGGAAATTTAACATTGATATAATATCATGATCTCATTATAGATTAGACCTTAAGCACATTATTAAATTTTTCCATTGATTTTCATTGGCAGCAATTTTATCCCCTACAAACCTGGAATCCTGGGTCTGCATTGCACTTAATGACCTTATCTCTTAGTCTCCTTTACTCTAGAATTGCTCTTCAGCTTTTCTTTGATGTTCTGAAGAGAACTGGCCAGTTATTTTTCACACTGTTCTTCATTTTGAGTTGGTCTCATGCTTTCTTGTAATTAGATGCAGAGTCCGCATTTTGGGTAGGAATGCCACATAAGTGAGGTGTTATTCTCAGTTCATCGTATCAGGAGGTACACGATAGCAATTTTTCCCATATGAACTTTGATCACTTGGTTAATAAGATATCCATTGGCTTGCTGCACTGTTAGATTATTCTTTTTCTATTTGTAATTAATAAGTAATCTGTAGGAAGTTACTGTGGCAATGTATTAGTTTCTTGTGTCTCATCAAGTTTTCACCCACTAATATTAGCATCCATCAATGATTCTCAACCTGCTCAATTATTGTGCAGATTTGTAGAAGTCTGACTAAATTTATTAGCTGACATTCTTCTGTAAGAATGAGCTTTCCTTTCTCCCCCATTTGTTTGTCTATTTATTATCAGTTTGAACTCATGGATTTTAGTTTTATTTAATAGAATATAATCCATTGTCACATTATTTGCTTTGATGCTCAAGTTTTCCCAGAGGAAATTTGCTTAACCTGGCATTTCCTAAGCCTACTTCCCCAGTGGCATCCTGCTGAGTGAGTGTTCCTTGGAACCCACTGAGGCAAAAGCTGCAGTTGTGCCAAGTGAAAGGCACAAAATTAAAATGGAGGAAAGACTACTTGTGGCTAGAGTGATCTGGAAAGATTCTGCTAGGGAAGTATTTGGGTCTTTTGATAAGTCAAGATGCAAGTGGATGAGGAATGTCATTGACAAAGGCACAGAAGTTGGAAGGCACAAATTGTACATTAATGTAGTGGGATTGGAAAGGTCCTTGAAAGGCAGCCTATAGAACTTAGATGCTACTTTAAACATGTGGGAGGTCATGGAAGGCATTGAGTGGGAAATTGATGTGATGTGATGTGACAAAGGCAGAGCTGCAGGATCAGAGGAGGGAACAACTTAAGAGGAAGGTGAAGTTGAGAGACTCTTCTGCTGCCCAAGAGAAAGGTGATAAAGATCTTTTTGCTGTCCATTTATGAGTTCACTCTTCAGGACAAAAGAAGCAGCTTCCTGCATGATCTTTGTAACCAACACATTGACCAAGCTGGATTTATGGGGTGATCATAAAAGAAGATTAATTTTATCTCCACTCTTTCTTTGAACTATTCCAAGGGCAAATTCTGGCAGTTTTATGACATTTTTTTTTTTATTACTCTTTATCAATAAAAAGTCCAAAAGTAATTTTAAGGCACCAAACACAGTCTGAGTTCAGCAAAGAAAGACGAGAGTAGCTAGAAAGTTCTGATTTAATTGATGCTGTTGTAAGGTGACTGACTGTTTTCTGGCTCTGTAGGTGTGTGAAGTTGACGCTTTTCTTTCTCTTGTGATTTCTTTCAAGAATTTTTCAGGGGTCACCACTGGGAACATTTGATTTCATGTCTCATGGTATGAATGATGCATTTTTCCCAGATCAACTATCTCCCTCAGCCTTCTGTTTTGGGAGGTCCATTCCAAATAGATACTGTTAGAGGTCCCATCACTACCTCTACTCAGTCTTTTTGGGAATGATTTAAACACTCTAAGCCATCCTGCGCCCCCATGCATGGCCTGTACTAAGTTAATGGAAAACACTGTCATGCCTTTGCTCTAACAACCCCAACACAGCCACTCTTCTCCCGCTTGTCTATCTCCAGTGTTGAGGTAGGACAGACCTCATGCCCCATACTGCATGGACAGGCAACTGCTACACTTCTACCTTAATAAGATGTGGGATTTGTAGTACAGCTCTGTCTAAAGAAACCCTTATCACAAATTCTCTCCTTCTCACTCATATCAATAACCCAAAATCTTTTACCCTTGATAATGGCTGAGGAGTTTGATATTTGTAAGTTCCTCTGACATTTTGCATCTGGGACTGGCACTTACTTCACTTTGCAGACACCATTTTCTAGTTTATAGAATGTATGGTTCACTGACTTTTGGTTTGAGATTTCTCTTTCATTTATGACACACATTAATGTTGTTGACTGTGATAGCTCATAATATCCAGGAGACTGGCTTTCTACAGTCACATGGCAGGTCTAGATGTAAACACTCAAAGAGGCCATGCCAGAGATCCACATGCTGATGGTGTCACAGGTGTGATCCAGCAGCTGGGAATGAAATGACATGTTTGATTTGAAGTACGCTTTTCTTTGGTTAAAAATTCCCTGAGTGATGCAAATGGTTTGTGTTCAACAACTAATTAAAGGCTGACAGTTTGAACCCACTCAGCAGTGCTGAAGAAGAGCCTGGTGATCTGCTTCTGTAAACACTGTTGTTGTTATGTGCCATCGAGTCAGACCCGACTCATAGCGACCCCTCCTTGGGTTTCTGAGGCAGTATCACTATGGAAGTAGGTTGCCCCATCTTCCTTCCAAGAAGTGGCTGGTGGGTTTGAACCACCAGCCTTCTGGTTAGCAGTCAAGTGCCTTAGCCACTATGCTACCAGAGCTCTCTGTACAGATTACAATCAAGAAAACCCTATGGAAGAATCTTCCTCTGTAACGTATAGGATTACCATGAATTAGAATGGACTCAGTGGCAATGAGTTAGTTATTTTTTTCGGGTTTCTGCCTTGATCAACCTATGTGATGGGTACAAAAAAACTGAGTTTCCTATGGTGTATTCAGAGCTGAGCATTAATATGGATTTTTATACTTTAAATATATGAGTGTGCCTATAGTCTGACTTGTAGTTAATATGTTCATTCTTATGGAGTCATCAAGAAAAAATACCTTAGATTTATGATTTATTTAGCATATCTTCATTATCTCTACAAATTTATGGATGAGAAAATGAAGGGACAGAAGCCATTGCAGAACTATGCCTAATTTTTTTCCCCCTTTTTTTGTAGGTTGTTGAGAAAAATGCAGACCCAGAAACAACACTTTTGGCCTACCTGAGAAGGAAGTGTATCCTGACTTTGGAATAGGAGGTGGGAGTGAGGGACAAGGGTGACAGGAACTCATTCTCTGGGCTTTACATCATTTTCTCATGACAAGTAAGTAGACAGTGGATGTAGAGGAAAGCATACTGGATGAGGAGTCTGGATGCCTGTGGTTTAGTTACAGTCTGTCCCTCATTAACAGTGTGACCTTAGGCAGTCATTTGAGCTCTCTGATTCTGAAACTCTCAGCTGTTAAATGAGAGGATTTTTCTTGATGTTCCATATGATCTCTTCCAGCTAAGATTAGTAAATCCTGGGTCTATAAAATGAGCGTTCAGAAAGGCTCTCATTGGATATTCTCTCAGGGAGGAAAAAGGGATTTCATTAGGTGAACTTTACCTAATAAATAAATGGAAATATATGTTTCCAGTTCTACCTGTAGGGAGAGAAAAATCAGCCTAAGTGGTGTCTGTTGGGAAAGGCTTGCCTCAAGTAGAGAACTGTGTAGAGGTCCAAAATGTAGTTTGGATGTGGTAGATGCTAGGAGGCATCAGGGGAAGGTGACTCTTTAGAAAAACTGTAAATGCAGTTCTTCACTCAAGTGGTGAGAGCTTCTGTAAGATCCCTTGTACCTTTTGTGCTTTCAGAGTATGAAAGAAGTCTGAGACCCTGGAACAAACCAACAACCAACAAATTACAATAGGAATTAACATTTAATGAGTGCTTGAGATTTACAGAGTTCAAAGTGATTTGCATAGGGATATCTCACTTGATAAGAAACTCTGATGGCACAGTGGTTAAAGCATAGGGCTGCTAACCAAAACGTCAGCAGTTAGAATCCACCAACTGCTCTGCAGGACAAAGATGAGGTAGTCTGCTTCCATAGTGATTTATAGCCCTAGAAACCTTATGAGACCAGAAGAACTAGATGGTGCCCAGCTACCACTGCCAACCACTTGGAAAGGGATCAAAATTGGAGATCCTAGATAGTATGGGAGAAAAATGTGGAACAAAACTTAAAAAAATAAAAGGGCCAGGATTACTGGTTGGAGAGACACTGGTGAAACCCCCAAGACTATGGATGGCCCCTAGTCACCCTTTGGGCCTAGACTTGGACTCACTCCCATCACTAACATCCAGCTAAAAAATAAACAGGCCTACAACCTTAACAGCTACACGAGGGAGATGTACTCCTTAGAGCAATCAACTATGAGTGATTAAAAGGGCAGCATTTGCGCAGGAGAAAGGTAGGGAGGGCAGTAATTCATAGGTGGGAAAGACACAGGGAAAGAAAGGAAGTGGGAGGAGAGCTGTTACATTGTGGGGATTGTAATCAGTGTCACGAAACAAAATGTGTAAAATTTCACCCAAATCACATTAAAAAGTTTTATTTTATTTTTTAAAGAGAGAACTAGTACAACTAAAAAGGAAAAGACTCAAGCTGCTGGGGAGTAGGGCATCATGTAAAGATATTGTTAAAGAGAGCCAGATATCAGGGTGCAGAAGCCCTAGCTGCCCCACCCCCTGCAGAAAGACAACACACATATGCAGGAGTAGGGTAAATATAGACAGATAAAGATATAGACAATATATAGAAAAATAAAGACAGACATAGCCGAGATCCAGGGGTTTGCAAGGTATAATAAGTAAGGAAAATAATTGAACATTTCAATAAATGTATGGCAGTTAATTGTCATGATTAACATCTCATTTATAGGAATGAGGTTGAGTAAATAAATTATAGTAAAAAAATTATAACAAAAACAAAAATTCACTGTCATATATATATGTATATGTATATATATATATATATATATATATATACATACACACACAGCCCATACACACATATATATAAGCTCTGGTGGCATAGTCCCTAAGGCATTTGACTGCTAATCAGAAGGCTGGCAGTTAAAACCCACCAGTTCCTCCATGGAAGGAAGACTGTGCAATCTGCTTCTGTAGAGATACCACCTCAGAAACCCAATGAGTGGTTGCTATGAGTTGAAATAGACTCAGTGTTAAAGTGAACTAAACCTTAAATCTAAAATGAACTAAATTTGTAGTGACATAAAGCACCCTATATTGTGAATTTAGATCACATGATATCTTATTAGATGGTAGGCTTATAACTAGTTAAGTATAAGCTGTAGTCTAGTGATAAAGCTAGTGGTGACACTATAGCCTAAGTACTTAGTACACAATTGTCAACTCTTTGATTCTTAACACCTGCCTGCTTATCAATATTTATCAACTTATGGAAGAATAAGATAAGAATGCTTATCAACTAATTTTCTAATTTATGTAAAACTATAAAAAGTATCTTTCCAGATAAGAATAGTTACTACCACTTTATAGTATAAAATAGTTCTGGTAAGTAGTCTAAGAATTCACCATAGTTTAGTGGTTAAGAACCAGCCTTATGTAGACAGTTTGTCTCTATTCAAGTCAGGGCCCTATCATTTACCAGATCTGTGGCCTGTGCTTTCTCTGTGCCTCAATTTCTTTGCCTTAAGATGGGGGTAACTATGCAGTTTTAAAATATTAATCAAGGACTAGAAGCTAAGCTATGGTGCTGCACATAAGCACTGCAATTGTCAGGGAGCCCTCTAGCATTCTGATGGCTGGTTTAGGACAACTGATCCTTCCTAGATATTACTAAGGGCCTAAACCAGAGCAGCATCAGTTGGGGAAAAAAAAGACAGACACCCTATAATGTCCTTTAGTTAGTTGTTGAGCACAAACCATTTGCATCACCCAGGGAATTTTTAACCAAAGCAAAGCATACTTCAAATCAAACATGTCATTTCATTCCCAGCTGCTGGATCACACCTGTGACACCATCAGCATGTGGATCTCTGGCATGGCCTCCTTGAGTGTTAGGCACAGTTCTGCAATGGCTTCTCTCCCTTCATTTTCTCACTATAGGGCACTCCTAGGGCAGTTCTATTTTGTCCTATAGTGTTGCTATGAGTTCAAATCAACTCAAGGGCAGTGGGTAGGATCTCACTTAATTCCCATAGCAATTCCAGAGAATTGTAACATTCTCTTTCAAAGATAAGGAAGTGTAGCCTAAACATCCTCAGTGAGCTGCATTTTGCTAGTATATTCTGTGTAAACGGTGGCAGAGCCTGGACTAAATCTAGAGAGCCATGCCCCTAACCCCTCACCTATAGTGGAGTCCAGGGCTCTGTTGTCAGGACTGTGCTCAGTTGACCTCTGCCAATGAACCCATAACTCCTAGAAAGGTATAAGGCAGAGAGATCTGGTGGTCATTTTCATTGACATATTTTGGGATAACAAAGGATTGTTTAAACACTCACAGAAGTGAACCTGGGATCCATAGTCTTTTCTCTAGTCCACTCACCTCCTGTTAGGCAGAGGGTGACTGAGGTACTTTGTCTTAGAATTTTGACCTGGAGTGGGCAGGTCTGTTCTGACATGGCAGCCATGTCAGGATGGGTGGCTTTTTTATACTGGAAGAATCACTTGGTAGGGTCAGGGAACTGCATGGAAATCCAGCCTACCCCATCTACCTAGGAGGTCTAGAAAGGAAATTTCTTGCTCAGAGATTCTTGATAGTATTTTCAGTTTCTAATAAAGTTTTAAAGATCAGAAATTCTCAGAATTTCCTTATCATAGCAATAGGCTGGTTTAAAGGTCAAGTATGAAATGGGATCCGAAATTGAAAGTTGGCACACAAAGGCAAAGTCCCCATGGCTTGTTGCTTGTGCTGAGAGGTAATATATGGGAGTCCTGGGCAAGAGAAGGCCCTAGTCTTGATGTATACTTTAGCTTCTAGAAAAGCCTCCAGGCTAGAAGGAAAACCTTTCTAGACAATTTACCTAGAATTTTCTGAACTTCTGATAACTGCATGTATGTAGATTAGTGAAAATAACAATTTATGGCATTGAAATCCCTCCTCAGACATGATTTGCAACTGGCAGCATGATAAGGAAGGCACACACCAAACCTGGGGTCAGAGACTGTGTTGGAGCCCTAATACTTAAGGTAACACAAGCTCCTGTGTTAACTTGGGCTCATGTTTCCTGTCAGGTTTCTGTTTCTTTTTGCTTTTTTTATTCCACAGAGAAACAGTAGTTCTTGCCCCATCTGCTAACCAAATTATTGTGAGGATCAAACAGGTACATAGATATAAGTGCCTTTAAAGAATAAAATGCTAGTTATATTATATGTTGTCAGTTATTATTTTATTTTTATCTTGAAAATTAGGTTAGTGATCAGGCAATTATAATCTCAGTTCCCTCTGCCATCAGTAGGGAGCCAGATGGCTTAGAGGCCTGCAGCTTTCAGCAAAAGATAGCAATCATCCACATGTCTCAGGGAGATGGCCACTATCACTGCTTTTCTCTAGAATAGCCAGTTAGTTAGGCACTTTTTATACATAAAGTATCAGATTATCTATTTTCTGAAGTACCCATAAAAGAAGATGCCTCCAAATGATTTCCATTCTCATTGTCTGTGGGCTAGATATTCAAAAGATCCTGCGTTCCAGTCTTAATTTTGGCTCCTGGAACTTCATCAACCAAAATGTTCAGAGTGAAAAGTCATTGACCCAGAATAGGTCAATGTCTCATTCTGGCCCAAATATCTTCATTACACATCTAGTTGGGGTTACATGAGGGCTCCCCCTCATACTCAGTCTCTGAGTCACTTGAATTACTTGCCCAATGAGAGCACAGGGTTGGGACGTTAAGACTGCTCTTTGGAGACCCTAGCTCCAAGTGAAGTCTCCAGGACTGGAGAGCCCTAAACTTTAGTTGAGTGCTGTCCAAAGGGGCCCTGATGCCTTCCCTCTTCTGTACAGTAGAATTGGCCCCATTCTCCTGTCCCAGAAGTTCATGCAGCTTCTCTGAAAGAGGAGGAGGTGTGAGTTGGCTGCCTCTCCTGTCAAAGGGCCTGAGTCTGTGTGGGAAATGGATGACCATATTCATGCAACCCTGCCCGGGCATTTCCAGCAAAGATACCTTGCACATGTTCCTTAACCTTTGACCACCTAGTGGGACTGAGTGGGACCAAGCTTGGCTGTGGAGAAGGAGGCTGCGGGGCCTGCACCGTCATGCTTTCCAAGTATGATCGTCTTCAGAACAAGATTGTGTATCCTTTGTCTGCTGGCTGATTTCCCATACGACAACTGAATGTAGGGTGTGAGTGTGTCAGTGTGTGTATGTGTGTGCATGAGTGAGAATGAGTCCCTGTAGCTCTGGGCAGCCTCTGGTCTCGGGCAGAAAAGTTGTAGAACGATGTCTTAGGAAGTCTTTCTGGCTTATGAGTAGTGACAAGACTCTGAACTACTGATAAAATAATCTTTCTTAAATCCAGGCTCATATCACTCCACCAAAATCTTTCAGTACCTATCCATTGCCTCAAGGTTTAAGTCTAAGCTCTTTGCTGAGCATGCAATAGGCTCCAGACTTCCTCTCTAATTTTCTTTTTCATCATCGAGCTGGGCACTCCTTTCATCCAAGACAAGGCCTTCGACAAGATGGATTGACACGGTGGCTGTGACAATGGGCTCAAGTATAGCAAGGATCATGGAGCTGGTGCGGGATCGGGTAGTGTTTCGTTCTGCTGTGCATGGGGTTGCTATGAGTCAGAAGTGACTCGACGGCACCTAACAACAATAGCAGTGTTCCATGCTTGCTAATTTCTTAGCCTTTGCATAGGACCTTTCTCAAGTCTAGAACGTCCTTGTTTCTAAGACTCTGTTCTCCACATAGCTAATTCTTACCAGCTCTTTCCAAAACCAAGCTCACTGCCATTGAGTCGGATCCAACTCATGGCGACCCCTCCTTGTGTTTCTGAGGCAGTACCACTACCAAAGTAGATTGCCCAACCTTCCTTCCGATGAGTGGCTGGTGAGTTTGAACCACCAGCCTTCTGGTTAATAGCCAAATGCCTTAGGCACTACACCTTCAGAGCTCTGGGCAAAAGCATTATCTACTCCAGGGAGCCTTTCTTGACTTTCCAAGACTGAATTAGATGCCCCTTGCCTGTGTTGGTCCTATAGTGTCTGCTTACATCCCTCTTGAAGCACTTACAAAAAGATATTGAAATTGCCATTCCTACTTGTTTCTATTTTTCCTATACTGTCTGCAGGCTATTGAAGCTCAGGGAACTCATCTTATTCACCTTTATGTCCTCAGCTCTCATCAGAGTGTTGGCACTCAATAAATGTTGTTGTTGTTGTTGTTGTTGTTGTTATGTGCCATTGAGTCGGACCTGACTCATAGTGACCCCTCCTTGGGTTTCCAGGGCAGTATCACTATGGAAGAAGATTGCCCCATCTTCCTTCTGAGGAGTGGCTGGTGGATTTGAACCACCAGCCTTCTGGTTAGCAGTCAAGTGCCTTAGGCACTATGCTACCAGAGAAAATGTTATGGATCATATAAATGAATGAGTGGTGAATAAAGTAATGGATGCAAGGAGGCTCTGCTAAGGGACTGGTGTCTATTGTTGCTGGAGATTTTTTCCTCCCTTCTACCTAAGAAGGAATGAGGGAAATAGAGGTAGGTGAAAGCAGAGAAACAAGAGTGACTGGATGTTCTGAAATTGAGAAGGCTAGGAAGGGCCCTGCAGAGAGAGGGGTGCACTTCTGTGCAACGACCTATCATAAAATTCCTCTTGACTCAGCCTTCAAAATAGAACTGAGAGACAGCTGAAATGACTTTGGCTCCTTTGGGTTCTTTGGCTCCAGCTCACAGGTCTTGGATATATGGATATATGAGGTTCCTGGACTCTGGAGGGTCTCAGGCCTCAGCTGAAAGAGGGTTTCCTTGGTTCCTAGCTCTGAGTCTTGAGTGTAGTGAGGAGAAATAACATAAATCATCATGAAGTCTGCCCTCACCCCTGTACTCAGCTCTACTCTGATGACCTGACTGGGTAGTAGAATGACCTTAATTCAGGGTTTTAGACACTTTTCTGCCAATGCTTGCCTGGCTCCCATCTGCTCCTTGCACCACATTGCTGTGACAACTGTGGAAGGAATAGGAAGCACCAAGACGAGGCTGCATCCTGTGCAGGTAACCAGAGGAAAGGGGCTGTACTCTTGAAGTGAAACAATTCTGAGAAGTCTCATGCCATAGTTGCAGACTTGTTTGGAACATTGGTCTGAGCAAAGGAGACATATAGCCTGGCACCCTCCCCATCTTCTCTGGGTGCTATGAGGCTGAAAGGGGAGGCATCAAAGCCTGAAGCTCTCTCCTGTGGCTAGGGTGGATGTAACATTTCATGATGCCAGAGGAAACAAGAAGTCAACTGAATCTGGTGGCTAGGGAAGACAAACCAGCCAAAATAAGGAGGGGGGACAAGGGAATTTCCTCACCTTGTGTCAGATGCCAAATTCTCTGTGTATCTTGATAAAAAAAAGTCCTATCTACTCCCAGCTTCCTGGAATGGTAATTTCAGTTGCACCTCTCATCTCCCACCCACAGATAATGCAAATGTGACTGTTAGGCAACTAGAGTTATTAAAATGGAGGTTACAAAAAAATAAAATAGCCAGTTGCCTTGAAGTTGATTCTGAATTATAGTGATGCCATGTATCAGACTAGAACTGAGTCCATAGGGTTGTTTTGGCTGTAATCTTCGTAGAAGAAAATCTCCATACCTTCTGCAGCACTGTCGAGTGGGCTTGAACTGTCAAAGTTTAAGTTCGTGGATGAGCAGACTGTTTGTGCTACCCAGAGACCTGGAATGCAGGTTACCCAAAACCAAACTCACTGCCGTCAAGTCGGATCCAACTCAGAGACTCGTCCGACAAAATTGACAAGGAAGGCCTTGGGTTTCTGAGGCACTATCACTACGGAAGTGATTGCCCAATCTTCCTTCCAAGGAATGGTGGTGGGTTTGAACCACCAGCCTTCTGGTTAGCAGTCAAATACCTTAGGACTACACTACCAGAGCCCCCGAAATGCAGGTTAGTAAGTGTTAAACAAGATGATAAAGACATGCTGAGTGTCTGAGTCCCTGGTGGTATAAGATGGCCAGAAAATGGATTGAAACTCTGGCAGTAATCTGAGGGATTTTGTGTAGAGAAGCATTTAGGCAAAATTGAAACAAGGGTGGAATAGAGGCAGAGCACTGTGGGAAGAGGATACTGTTCCCTGATCTTTTTATTTGAGGGAAACTGAGGCAAAGGCTCTTTAGGGATTACAATCACAGAAGGGACCAGAGCTATGTCCAGGCATGAAACCTTCCCTTGGCCATTTGATGATACAAATATCATTCAGGAGATAAAATCTTCCTTAGATAACTGTCTCATTTATGTAGTGATACTATAGCAGAAATACTACAAGTCAATGGCTTTAACAAATAAATATATTCTCTCACAGGTTATGAGGCTAGAAGTCTGAAATCAGGGCACTGACTCTAGGAAAAGGATTTATCTCTCTGGTGGCTCTGAAGGAAAGTCCTTGTCTCCTTTCAACTTCTGTGGGCTTGGCGCTCCTTGGAGCTCTATGTGTCTTGGGAGCAATCTTCCTCTGGGTCAAGGAGCTTCTCAGTGCAGGGACTCTGAGTCCAAAGGATGCACTCCATTCTTGCCTCTTCTTTCTTGGTGGTAGTTCGATCTCTCTTTCTCTGCTGGCTTCTCTCTCCTTTCATCTCTTGTAAATTAAAAGGTGATGCAAGCCACACCTCAGGGAAAATCTCCTTACATCAGACCAGGGCTGTGATCTGAGTCAGATGTTGTATTTCACCCTAATCCTGCCTCATTAACATAACAAAAAATCTCATTCTCTATCACATAGCCTAATCCTGTTAACCACAGACAGAGATTAGGATTTGCTACATATAGGACAATTTCATTGTATTACAAAATAGAAGACAAACACAATACTAGGAATCTTGGCCTAGCAAAATTGACATATTTTTTGGGGAACACAATTCAATCCATGATAGATACCTTACATGACATCTATAACCTTCACCTTCTGGTTGAGCAACCTGGTGTATTTCTTAGGAGAAGCATATTGGACTTATCATCTGAGAACAGGATGGAGTTGAGGTGGTATTGCTTCACTTCTAGAGCTTCACTTCTTAGTCTGTAAAAGGGGAAATAATTAAACTTTTCTAACCTGTGGGGATGTAAGAGGGTTAATTGGGGCTTGCAATTTTCTTTGAAATAAATAGGTGAGAGAAAGTTTAAACACAGAGACCTTATCTATATAATCTCATTAAGCCTCTCCCCTTTTCAATGATACCAATCCTTATTCCTGATGCAATTATTTTAGCATTAAGCTATAGAGCCAGATTCCACTCTCCTTGTCCATTTATTCAAGAAAAACATTTATTTTTTTCTCTTAGTTTTTTGTTTTCACTATACTTTTTCCTTATTAACCTCCCATCTCTATCTTAGCGTCAGGTGCTGGCTCCTTCTCTGCTTGGCTTCTAGTAGCCAGAGGGCTTCAGGGTTCTGGCTCCAGCTCCTTCCTTTCCTTATCTTCACACTCTCCTTGTTGTTGTTGTTGTTATGTGCCATCGAGTCAGACAGACTCATTTAGGTAAGTTTAATATCATCAATATGCCAATGGCACTCACATTTATACCTTCAGCTTTTACCTCTCTTCAGAAATCAGACTCGTATTTCTATCTGCCTACATGGCATCACTAAATATATATCTGATTTCAAACTTAACAAAACCCTAGTTTTTCCACAAACTGCTTCCTTCCGTAGCCTTTCTCCATCTGAGAAAATGACAAAACTGTGTACCCAGAAGCTCAAGACAAAAATCTTGAAGTTACCTTTGATTCTTCTCTTTTTCTCAAACACCACACTCAATCCATCAATAAGTAATGTCTACCAGATCTACAAAACCTACAATAAAACCTTCATTTTCTCTCAATTTCCCCTATTACTATTTGGTCCCAGCCACCATCTCCTCTTACCTGGATCACTGTAATATCCTGGTCCCCTGCTTGCTCTCTTACCCACTATAATCCATTCCCCACCCAGCAGCCAGAGTGATCGAATCTGTCCATTGTAGGAGAGAATTGCCAAAAGTCATGGCTCTCAGTGTGGGTTCTGCACCCCTGGCATCGTCATGAGCATGTACACACTGCTCCGGAATCAGCCTGAGCCTACTATCAAGGAGATTGAGGATGCCTTCCAAGGTACGGGTCTTCAGGCATAGCCGGGAACATAGGATGGTAAAAGGAGCCCTGCAGAAGTCAGAGCAGGGCAGGGTTAAAGTCAGGAATTGGCCAAGAGTGTGATGTATTGCTGTCTGGAGAAGAGACCCAGGCCACTCCTGCTAGAATGTTAGCTCTGTCTTTGTTTGGAGAATTCCTGAGTAGTTTAGAGACCTCCTGGATCTCTTGGCTCTGTGTTCATCTTTCTGAGTTGTCTTCCTGTCCTCTCCCAGTGTTGGGATGGAATTGGCAGTGGGTTACTGGCACAGGAGAAGAACATCTGGAAAACTCTACAGAGGTAGTTATAGGGCTTCATTTCTTCTCAGATTTCATTAGGACAGGATTCTGCAGGACAGAGCCGGCATATGAGGTAAACAATCATGATTCCAAACCATGGGAAAGAACTGGCTTCCCATTTTGCCTTCTGCAAATGAGCACTAGAGCTTGGGCCATATATATGTTCCTCTGAATTGAATGTAGAAGGCTCCTCATTTTTCCTTTTCACCATTTTCATCTATTATTTATTCAATTAGTTTTATTAACTCCAACACTCTATGAGATACAAGGGAAACAGGTATGAAAAATACAGTTGCTCCTCTCAAGGAATTCATACGCTGATGAGTTGAGTTTATAATATAGTTTCATAAACTCACAGATAAAACTACGACTAGGCACCATAGGAGAATTTAGGAGGGGTACTTGGCCCAGTCTGGGCATTCTAGGAAGGCTTCCTGAAGGAGGCAATGATTGATGGGTTGAAGTTAGGAATATAGGTAGAAATGAGGACCTTCGAAGCAGAGGCAACAATATGCAAAGGCATAGTGCTAAAAGAAGGCACCAAATGAGGTGGTGAAAAAAACCACAAATTCCTAACCTGCTTTGGGGGCCTATGCTAACATTGTCACTTTCTCTTTGCCCCACAGGAAACCTGTGCCGCTGCACAGGCTACAGACCCATCCTGCAGGGCTTTCGGACTTTTGCCAGGGTAAGTGGGGGTCCCAGAACAGCTGTGCTTCTGCTCCCAAAGCAGCAAGGCTCAGGACTCACAGTTGGGAGGGAGGCCAAGGGTCCTCTTGACTATATGAAAAGAAAGAAAAAAGATGGCCAGTGAATGGATCCTCATGCTGAGGACAACTGACATTGAGAGTGGACTCTGCTATTGTTACTGAGGGAGGGGTTCTTACTGATAGCATGGAGATGTTCCTGCCAGTTCAGGGGAGAAGAACAGGTTCCTGGAAGAGGCATGCTACTCGAGAGCTAACTTCCTCCAATGTCCTGGGACTTGGCAGCTTTTCCTTGGAGCCTGGCACACTCAGCCCATGGCTCAGGTGCTAAAAGTGACTTTTAATAACAACACACAGAGCTCAGCACTTACACCTGTCCCCCTCCCTCTCTGGCTGCTTTCTGCAATTGGCACTCTGCTGGACTTATGGAACTGATAAGTGGCCTCCAGACAGTTGTGAACCCCTGCAGTGTTCATGTGACTCAGAGTAAGAAACCACAGCCAGAGTTTTCAGGCATTGTGATTATATAAACCTGGACATGCACCTGTCATCTGGCAAGGAGAACAGAGGGCTGGCCTCTCCTTTCTTGGCATAATCTCCTAAGCTTTTACCTGATCTCCAAATGGGTCAAGTTAATCTTAACTTGATTCTGGGTAGAGGGCAGAGTTACAAACATCAACATTTTCCACTGACCCTTAGGGCCTGGCAATCTGCTTCCATAAAATTACAGCCCAGAAAACCCTATGGAACAATTTTACTCTGTAACACCTGTGGTTGCCATGAGTCAGAATTGACTCAATGGGAGTGGATTTTTGTTGTTGTTGTTGTTAGGTTTGGCATCATGAAATGCAGTATTGTCTCTTGTCTAATCCAAGAAGGGGTGGAGCTGGAGACAGGGCCTTCCTTATAAGCATAGAAAGCACCACACCCTGGTGAAAGCCATGGGTAAAGAAAAATAGGCAGATGTGGATTTAAAGGAAGGCAAAAAGGATTGAAAGCATAGATTTGGTATCTGAAGACTTGGACTCATCCCATCTCTTAATAGATTCATGGCCTTGGGCAAGTTTCCTTGTTCCTGAGGTGCGAATTATAATAATCCTTGCCTTAGAAAATTAAATACTTCTTGTAAAGCCCTTAGAATAGTGTCTGACACATTTTAAGTCTTCCATAAATGACAACTATAAATGATGATGCCAGTACATTTCTTCCATGAGTCACTATCTGATCATCATAAATTGCTCAGGCTTCCCTGAGAACCAAGAATTGCTAATCTTGCTCGTTTACTTGCTTCATAGGCGGCTGCTCAAAGAGATACAATTTAATCTGCCCTCCTGGTATTATAGTCCTTCCTGGTTTTGAGTTTATTGAAGAAGTTCCTGATTCCACCACATGGTGGTCCCTTTGTCCTACTTGCTGCCCTCAGCCCAGAGCAAAGCTCAGTGTGATAAGTTGGGGCACATTACTCACTAGAAGCTCCTGTAGCCTTTTTTTCAGAGCCTATTTACTGTTATTTTAGACACAGTATGAACAAACCGATAGTCTAGTTTCCCTGTCCACAGCACACACTAGAAAAATGTAGGAGGGGTCTGCTTAGGCAGACACCATGTACGCAGCAGGAAATAACAATATCCACACTGCAGCAAGGAAGGAAACGGAAGAGCCATAAAAACAGGCACAGGATATAAGAAAGTCCAAAAGGCTTAGCCAACTGAGCAAAGTAGAAATCTCTGGAGGGGGAAAAAACTCAGCTTTATCCAACGTCAATAGACCTTTATCCAGCCTCACTAGACCTTGAGGGCAGTGACGTATTATTATACACCACAATAATTGATGCCAGAAACATGTCAATGAATTATCAGGGAAAAAGATCAAAGTAAAAATGTATGGCACTTTAATTACCTGGAAAATGTACTTCTGTGAAATATGTCCTCCTCCCACTGCACCAAGGTTGGATGAGTGAGGCTAGTGCCTCAGTATCTGCCGGTCTCTAGTACTGCTTCTCTGAGGGCCTAGACATTCCCTGCATCACTCTTTTTGCAAGAAAGATGATATCTACACTGTTGAGAAAAGGCACTCTTATCAAGGGAAATTCTCTTTTTCCTAAGTATATAGGAAGGATGACTTGGCAGTGGGCGGGACTGAAATAGAGCAGCTCTGGTCACCCAGTGCAGAAGCTGTAGATGCAGGAGGATTCTGCATGCAGGGCAGTATGTGGCCAGAGGGTCAAAGCAAGACACATGACATTATCTCTCATGACACTATCTCTCACGACACTATCACTTGACAGTGCTTATAAGTTCTCAAAGGCCTCAGCTCCAGATCCCATGGTCCTCTGAGAGCTTTCTTTTCTTGAGAAGGGTTGTGAGCTGTGACATATTTGCTGGGAAATGCCAGGGCTGAATGGTGTCTCCCCTGGCTCGTACGCAGAAGGACTGTTCCCAGCCTGCTCCCCTAGGATTCTCCTACCCTGGAATTGTGTCAGGGCTATGCCTGTGAGGTTTCCTACCTTTTCCCCTCAGCATAATTCCATGATTCTGAAAAGCAGCTCCTGCCTTTTGGGCTGTATCAGTTGTGCGTGGCCAGGTGAAGATGCCCCTTCCCAACCTACAATGTCTTGCTTCTGGTAGGCAGCAACTCTGGACTTTTCTATTCTCTGCTATTGGCATTCTGAGAGGTCCCGAGAATGTCTTCTCCCTGTAGGTAATGGGTGATCATGCCTGCACCCTTTCCCCAGAACAAGCCCATAATGAGGAGCAAAGGCTTTCTGGGAAGGGTGCCTAATACATAGTGAGGAGGCCATAGGGCACACTGGCTGGACAAAACTCTGGGCCCAGCATTGGTCTTGAAATATCCTTGGCAGGTGTCCTATAGAAAACCCAGCCAGAGAAATGCCTAGCCAAGTGCCACAGAACCTGGCTGATCTAGAAGTAGAGTTGAGTGCTGGGAGAATTGATGGGAATTTTTCTCACAGAAGCTTCCTAAGGAAGCATCACTGAAGAAGGAAAATGAGGGTAAAGATATGTTTTGGTAAAATATAACCTAGTTTTCACAGGGAAATTTTCTTGAGATTAAAATTTACTCTTGCTTCTAGAGGGGGATCCTCTTGTTTACTCTTGATATATTTATTCTACATTAGCCAAACAAAAGAGAATCTAGCAGAGGTCTTACTCTATGAAGGGAGGCAAGTAGGATGGTAGCATCAGAGCTGAATTCCTCTGGATATTAATAATCTAGGATCTTTTAGCTTTTGTGACAAGTCTGCATATATCCTTGCATGAATGTTGGTCTTCTCTGTAGGATGGTGGATGCTGTGGAGGAAAAGGCAACAACCCAAACTGCTGCATGAACCAGAAGAAAAACCTCACGGTAAGTGGTTCCTTCTCTTCCTGATGGCCTACGGGGAATTTCAAACTCAGAAGAGTCAGTAGACTCTCTCCATCCCTGGAAGTGGTGACTGGAAAGGATGGCACCATTTGCTCCAGCCTGGGTCTTTTGGCAAGAGCTCTGTGTTCCTGACTCCCAGAGCTGCTTGCCCTTCTGTCAGCCTGCGTGGTGTTAGGAATTAGCTTGCTTGGAGAAAAAGCTGGTCAGACTTACTGAGTCTTCGAAAAGAGGAGACCCACTTGTTCTTTTTTCTAGGATGTCACTCTCTCACCATCTTTATTCAACCCAGAAGACTTCATGCCCCTGGATCCTACCCAAGAGCCCATCTTCCCTCCAGAGCTGCTGGTAGGTGATGTCTCAGGGAGAGGTACAATCACATCTCTTTACCAGGAGCCCCTGGAGACATGCTTTATTTTCTGATTTACCAGAAATTTTGTGTCCACATTGTCATTTGTCTTTCGGCCTAGATTTCCCTTCCCCTTTTTGACACCCCTGCTAGGTTAAGTCCCTTTGTTACATACTAACAGAGTGTTCTATACTTTCCTTCTTACACTTCATACTTAAAATTACTAATTTGACATCTATGCTCCTTACCAGATTATAAGGATCATGAGGACATGGACTGGCTACACCTAATGTATAATCTCCCGAGCAGCTTTTTATCCTCTTTTTATTTATTTATTTATTAAAAATTGTGTTATATTCAAATAATTCAATTCTATGGCTTATAGCTTTACTTTAAGAAGCCCTCGCAAACCCCCTTTCTCACATTGATGATCCCACTCCTTTAGTCCAACATTAAGGCGAGGAAATAACAAAGCCACACTCACAGAGCTTTCTAAGCACAGATTTCTCGAAGGTGTGGAGCAGATGAAGGCTTCCTTGTGGGTTTGAGGGGCTGGAAAGAATGACTTTGGAGTAGGCAGCCAGAATATCTTTCTCTAACTATGAAACCTTGAAAAAATTATGTTGATTTGAGGGCTCTTTTTCCCAGCCCAACATCAATCAACCCTATGCATGAGAATCAATCCTTCTTTGAATTCCACTCTGATACCCCTGTAAATGTCCCTTCCCACGCTTTGTGCCCTGAACCTCCTGGAGACAGTGTGGGGCAGGACAAGGAGCCTGGGCTTTCTACCATGTAGGATTAGGTCCACTCCTAGCTGGGTGGCCATAGCCTCCTTGATCCTCAGGTTCCTCCTTCACCTGTGAAACATGGGCTAACCATATGTCCTTCACTTATGTCTTCTAAAACTAAATATGTATATAACCTCCCTGCCCCTCACAATTCCTACCTCAGTTCACATAATGAGTTCCTTTACTTCTCACCTAACATATATTTAACTCTGAATTCAGTATTAAATAAACCAGTAGAAGAGTTGATTTCATTGTTGAATTAAAATAACTTACCAGAGGAATGAAGTAGGAAGAAAGAGACAGGGAATTAAGAAAACTACCTTTCCCAGAGGCTGAAAGACACTCCTCAGAAGCAGTTGCACTTTGAAGGGGAGCGAGTGACATGGATCCAGGCCTCAACTTTGAAGGAGCTGCTGGACCTCAAAGCTCAGCACCCTGATGCCAAGCTGGTGGTGGGAAACACAGAGATCGGTGAGGACCTAGGGGAAGCCCTGGGGCTGGGGGCCGGGGAGTGTTGCTGGGCCCTTTACCATCAAGAAGCACCGTGTGCTTGAATTTCTGCAGAGACTCTTTCCTGGCTTTGGAGTTAGTCACATAGACCTGGTTCAAACACTTGCTGGCTGTGTGTCCTCAGAAAAGTTAATTTTCCTTCTCCTTGTTTTCCCATTTCTTATATGGGAATAGGAGTTCCTGGGTGGTGCAAATGGTCACCTTGCTCAGCTGCTAACTAAAAGGTTGGAGGCTCAGGTCCATGCAGAGATACCTTGGGAGAAAGCCCTGATGATCTACTTTTGAAGACTCAGCCATCGAAAACCCTATGGAATAGGGTTTTACTATAACACACATGGGGCTGCCATGAGTTGGAATCAACTTGATGGCCACTTGTATATGAGGATAATAATGTCTCCTTCAGAGGATTGCTTTGAGGAGTAATTGAGATATTTTCAAACTTGTTTACTTTTCCCCATAAACATTTATTGAGTGCTAACCATGAACTAGGTACTCTGGGAGGATCTAGGGATGCAAATATAAATTGGACATAGTTCCTTCCCTCAAGGTTCTCATAGTCTCGGGGTAGAGGGACTAATGTGGGTAAAGTGTCTAGTCCAATGCCTGACAAATGCTAGAAGTTTCATAGATGTCATTCTCTTTGCACCCTTCCCTTTTTGGAGGGTGCTATGATGAGAAGAAAGCAGACATTCAAGTGTGACAGTTTTTATGTTGCCTATGAGTGTGGCCACTTGCCCTCTGGGTGCCAGCACCTGAGGCATGGAGCCCACAACATGCAAACTAGCTGGCTAAGGCCTGGGAGACTCAGGATGAGTAGTTGTGAGCCCTGGTGCTTGTAAGGGACTGGGAGAAACAGCAGAGGGCCGGGTCCCTGCTAATCTCCATTCAGTTCTAAACTTGGTTTGGCCCATTTCCACTTTTTCCAGTGAGGCTCCAAAGGAGAGCATCATGGTAGAGCTGATATTTGCTTTAAAGGACCTCTGGTTTGGAGATTTGTAGTGGGGCAGAGAACATGACAGGTTTTTAAGTAGCCAAGCCCAGCTTATGGGAGACAGACAAGTGGCTCTGGTTCTAGAAGGGACTGTGTACCTCTGGGTTCTGGTTGGATTCTCAGACACAGAAATGTTGACCTGGCGTGCTTCATGCTGAAAGCATAGTGCCAGCCCCAATATTGTGAGGACAGTTGTGGTACACTGAGTTCTAAGATATAGCATTGTGAAATACCGGGGTGGCAGGATTGGCTGTGAAATACAAGTGCTGTAAGTGATGTGGTCCTGATGGCCACAACTAACAGAATCCATGGCTGGTGTAGCCATATCCTATAGCCCTAGGGTTCAAGGGTAGCATGAACTAAGATAGAAATGAATGGCTCAAAGGATCTTAGGAGATCTTTTGACAAATGGTATGTCCCTTGCCTACCACTCATCTGTCAGTTTGTCACAGTGTGGTGGCTTTGCATGTTGTTATGATGCTGGAAGCTATGTCACTGGTATTTCAAATACCAGCAGGGTCACACATGGTAGATAGTTTTCAGCAGAGCTTCCAAAGTAAAACAGACTAGGAAGAAAGATACAGTGGTCTACTTCTGAAAAACTGGCTACTAAAAACCTTATGAATAGCAGTGAAATATTGAACGATATAGTGCCTGAAGAAGAACCCCTCAGATTGGAAGGCACATCTATCCTGAAATACAAAGCTGTCAGTAATAAGATAACATCCATATACCTACTAGGAAGACCAGTTACCACTATTATTCAGATTTACATACCAACCACTAAAACCAAAAATAAAGAAATTGAAGATTTTTGCCAACTTCTGCAGTCTGCTATTGATCAAATACTCAATCAAGATGCAGTGATAATTACTGGTGATTGAAATGCAAAAGTTGGAAATGAAGAAGTTTTTGTAGTTGAAAAATATGGCCTTGGTGATAGAAATGGTGCCAGAGATTGCATGATGGAATTTTGTAATACTGAAGATCATCATAAATAGCTTTTCCAACAACATAAACAGCAACTATACATGTGAACCTTGCCAGACGAAACACACAGAAGTCAAATCAACTACATCATTGAAGGCATTGGTGAAAAACGAGGGTCCAGAAATTGATGAAATACTCATTGACATGTTTCAACAAACAGAAGCGGTACTGGAGGCACTTACTCATTTATGCCAAGAGATTCAGAAGACAGCTACCTGGCCAACTGACTGGAAGTGAACCATATTTGTGCCCACTCCAAAGAAAGGTGATCCAGCAGAACATGGAAATTATTGAACAATATCATTAATGTCACACACAAATAAAATTTTGCTGAAGATAATTTTAAAAAGTTGTTGCAGCACCATATTGACGAGGAACTGCAAGAAATTAAAGCCACATTCAGAAGAGGATGTGGAACAAGGGATATCATTGTTGATGTCAGATGGATCTTGGTTGAAAGCAAAGGATACAAGAAAGATGTTTACCTGTGTTTTATTGACTGTGAAAAGGTATTTGACTATGTGGATCATAACAAATTCTGGATAACATTGTGAAGAATAGGAATTCCAGGACCCTTAATTGTGCTCACAAAGAAACCATTATACAAAGACCAAGAGGCAATCATCTGAACAGAGCAAAGGGATACCAATGGTTTAAAATCAGGAAAGGTTTGTGTCAGGGCTGTATCCTTTCACCATACTTATTCAGTCTGTAAACTGAGCAAATAATCCAAGAAGGTGGACTATATGAAGAAGAATGAGGCATTAAGGTTGGAGGAAGACTCATTAGCAACTTGTGATATGCAGATGACATTGCTTGCTGAAAGTGAAGACTTGTGCACTTACTGATGAAGATCAAAGATTACAGCCTTTAGTATGGATTATGCTTCAACATAAAGAAAACAAAAATCCTCACAACTGGACCAATAAACAATATCATGATAAATGGAGAAAAGATTTGTGAAGGATTTCATTTACTTGGATCCACATTCAATGCCTATGTAAGCAGCAGTCAAGAAATCAAGTTATGTATTACATCGGGTAAATCTGCTACAAAAGACCTGTTCAAAGGTTTAAAGAGCATAGATGTCACTTTGAAGACTAAGATGTGTTTTACCCATGCCATGGTACTTACAATCACCTCATAGACATGGAAAGCCGATCAATGAATAAGGAAGCCTTCAGAAGAGTTGATATATTTGAATTACGGTGTTGGTGAAAAATATTGAATATATCATGGATTGCCAGAAAAACAAACAAATCTGTCTTGGAAGAATACAACTGGAATTCTCAGAAGTCCAGATGGTAAGACTTCAACTCTCACACTTTGGTCATGCTATCAGGAAGGACCAGTTCTTGGAAAGGGATATCATGCTAGGTAACGTGGAGTACCAGTGAAAAAGAGGCACACCCTCAATGATATGAAACAACACAATGGCTGTATCAATGGGCTCAAGCATAGCAAGGACTGTAAGGATGGTGTAGAACCAGGCAGTGTTTCATTCTGTTGTATGTAGAATTTCTGTGAGTTGGAACCACCCGCACAAGACAGCACCGGACAACAACAACAACATACCCCTTGTTACACAATATCAGATTCTAGGAGAAAGGATTGCAGAAAGACTTTATAAGCTCCACAAATAAAAATAATTTCTTAAGACCACTTCCATCTGTTCCAGCCTGTTCTGGTTACCTAGTGCCACTTTGACAAGAATATACCACAAATGGGATGGCCTTAACAAACAGGAGTTTATTTTCTCACAGTTTGGAGGCTTTAAGTCCAAGTTCAAAGTGCCAGGCTCTAGGGGCTGTGTGAAAGCCCCTTGACCTTGGGCTTTAGCTATGCCTCTTGTTCCCAGCCCACTGAAGCTAGAGGCATCTCTTCACTCAGGCAGCTATGGCTGCTGAGGCTAACAAGCCCAAGGTTGACAAATAAAATGGCACAATCCCGATGTTACCAAACTACATGGCAGGCCATTAATTCAAGTCCATTGAAAGTTCCAAGGTTGGCAGAGCATGGCAGGCTGCTGAGAAATGACACAGCAACATGCAGGGTCCACATGTGCCATAAGCTAGAGACCATTCCCCAAGGCTTCTGCTACAGGAAGCAGACTACATTCCCTAAGGCAGCTACTCAGCTGCTCACAGTAGAGTTCACCATGGAGTTGATTGCCAGTCTTATCATGGGGAATACTACATCCAGCTGCCCATCCACTCAACCAGGCCCAGACAAGTTGACATACAAACTGCACAGCCCCTCTTCTCTTACACATATAATGCAACAGTACAACCACCTTTTGCCACGGCAGGGGGTTGAAGGAAGCTGAGGGAGAGAGAAACCTATCAGTACAATTTATTGCCTTAATCTTCATTCCTTTTCCTGAAAGTTGATATTCAAACAGGCCAGACTCCATAAAACTGAGTCCACACTTCAGAAATCCTAACCATCACATGGTTCTTTGTGAACCTTTCCTATCTTTAGCTCTGTTGGCAGGCTGGGAGAAGTGCTATGCTAACTAGGTCTAAAGAACAGAGATGTGTCTGTTTAACAGAGGTTTCTAACCTGTTGGGAAGGACAGAGCCAGATATGGATGTGTGTCCTCACAAGCCACCACACCTTAAGGAACTCAGACAGATATTGGGGACCAGGAGGAAAATTTGAAAGGAAATTTGAATCAATTTCCTTTTTTCTTTTAACATTAAAAACAAACTCAGTGCTGTTGAGTCAAATCCGACTCATAGTGACCCCTCCTTGGGTTTCCAAGGCAGTATCTCCACGGATGTAGATTGCCCAATCTTCCTTCTGAGGAGTGGCTGGTGGATTTGAACTGCCAGCCTTCTGGTTAGCAGTCAAATGTCTTAGGCACTATGCTGCCAGAGCTCCTAAACAATGTTTTAACATTAGATTTTTATATTATTATTATTGTACCCCAACACTAATAACAATGGAATTCAGTAGTGAAATCTTCCCATTGTTAGCTGCATAACATGGGCAAGAAACTTAACCTGTCTGTGATCTGTTTTTTTCATCTGTAAGAGGGGATAATCACATTATCAGCCTGATAGGTTTGTTGTGAAGATTAAATGGGTCAGACTACGAATAGTTCCCAACATGCATACATTAATACCCTGTGTTTTCTAATATTGTTACTATACACACCACTCACATGTTAAAGTGAAGTGAATTCATCTTACTTGAATTCTGATAGGTTTCTTGAGGAGGAAAGACAGTTTTAGGGCTAAACACTTTGAAGAGTATCCCTAGTCCTGGGATACCCGTGGAGCATGTTATGTTTGCAAATACATCTCATATTCTGGGTGCAATGGTGGGGAAAAAATGTCAAAATCTGCCCTGTTTATATAACAATAGGCCTATAGCTTTAGGCTTCTTGTTTTTCCCCAGGCATTGAGATGAAGTTTAAGAATAAGTTGTTTCCAGTGATCGTCTGCCCAGCCTGGATCCCTGAGCTGAATTCAGTGGAGCATGGAACAGAGGGTAAGACAGGTTCAGGCCAAGCCCACGGAGGGCCTGAAGCTGGGGATGGGTCACCAGGGGAGATTGCGGGTGCCAGGCAGCCTTCTTTTTGCTCCCATTGCTGCCTGCTTTGGGAGGCCACCCTGCATAGGAAATGGGGGTACAGGGGAAGGGTGGCTGCCTTTCTTCTACTAAGCATGCATAGTAGGTGCCAAGAAGGTAAAAGGCTGTGATATTTCCAACAGATGTTCTCATTCCTGCTACACATTAGAATCACTCATGCGAGTAAAGGGGCAGTGCTTTTTAAATATGCCAGGCTTCATCCTCTGAGATCCTGATTTTACTGAACTGAGAATCACTGGTTTAGACAAAACAGAGCTCTGGGGGTACAGTGCCTAAGGCATTTGACTGCTAACCAGAAGGTTGGTGGATCAAACCCACCAGCTGCTCCATGGAAGGAAGATGGGGCAACCTACTTCCGTAAAGGTTTACTACCTTGGAAACCCTATGGGCGTTGCTATGAGTTAGAATCAACTCCATGGCAGTGGGTTGATTTTTACCTTTTGGTAGAGACAAAAGAATACTGGTGGTAGGATCAAGAAGCCTGGGGTTAAGTTCTGCCTCTTTTATTAGTTACGTGACATTGGTCAAGTCATTTAATCTCTCTGGGCCCTAATTCCCTCATCTATAGAAGGGCATGAATCCTAGTTCTGCTTCACTCAAGTTGTTGTAAAGTTTCACAGAAGCTGTACATGAAAGTGTTTTCTGAGCCAGATAGGGGATTATTTGGAACTTGTGTTCCCAGGTATCTCCTTTGGAGCTGCTTGCCCCCTGAGTACTGTGGAGAAGACCCTCATGGATGCAGTTGCTGTGCTTCCTGCTCATAAAACAGAGGTGTTCCAAAGCTTCCTGGAGCAGCTGCGCTGGTTTGCTGGGAAACAGGTCAAGTCTGTGGCGGTGAGTCCCTGTTCAGGGGTCTGCAAGGCCCTGGGGAAGGGCCTTCCATCAGAAAGCAGGGCAGCTAGTCTAGCTTCTGGTGCAGACTCCTGCTCCCTTCATCCTAGGGGGCTTCAAGTTTCATTGTGCTTTTAATTGTCTGGGGTGCTCATTAAAATGCAGATTCCCAGGCCAGCCCTTGAGATTGGGATTCTAAATCTGGATGGAACCCATGAATCAGATTTTAATTAGCCCTTTGGTGATTGGATGAAGGTAGTCTGTAGGCCACTCTGACAAACACTCCTGACTCCTATTCTTTGCCCTAAGGTTGAAGAGATGGCATTTTCTGGTTCCTTCCACTTGAACTTGGCTGAGGCTATCACAGGGTGAATGGGAGATGTGTCAGGGGAAAATCTAAATAAAGAGAGGGCTTTCCTTTCAAAGTTGGGAGGAACCGGAAATGGGCACCCCTGGGGGAGGGAAAGATCTACTTCTTGACTGCTCACAAACAGTCTTCGGACTAGCCCCAAAATTGTCTGTTCACACATGGCCTTCACACACCCTGTGCCTTGCAAGGCTCACCAATTTGTGTTGGGAGGAAAGCTAAGGTGTACTTTTCATTCTATCCTTATATTATTTCCATAATTTCTTTGGGAAAAAAAAAATGTTCATTCTGTTCCCCTCCTCCTGCCCCAAGCACACACCACTTCTGATTACATATGAGGAAACATCAACCAGGAAGGACTACTTCTAGGAAAACATCTGTTTCATTGTGAAATTGATTTTTTCCTGCTTTTTAATAATGAGAACACTGTACCTGATTCTGCTTACATTTTTTCCCAAGTTTCCAGGAAGTTCTGATCCAAATAGAGTTAACTGTTTATCCTTAAGGCTTTCTCCTTTTTTCCTTGATCTTTATCTTCTATTTCAATGTTGCCAACCCTATATGACCTCGATGATAAACCACCTCAATCTTTTCAAAAGAAGATTGGGTGAAATCGAATACATGAGCATTTTTTTAAAAGGGGCTTAATGCAGTTTACCCACTTGGATTACTGGATTATTGGAGCTAGACTTAATCCCAAGTGTTCTGATTTCAAGTGTTGTACATTGCCTGGGTGCTCAAGTGCTGTACCACTCTTGAGTCTGTAGGGGTGCAGGTCCTTGGGGCTCTGCCTTCAACATGTGTCACCCAGCTGTCTATGTTCAGGAGCAAGCTACATGAGCAAGGATCTCCTGGGGTGGTCTCTCACTTCACACTCTGTGCTTGTCCTAGTCCATTGGAGGAAACATCATCAATGCCAGTCCCATCTCTGACCTCAACCCTGTGCTCATGGCCAGCAGGGCCAAACTGACCCTGGTGTCCCAAGGTGAGTTGCCTGATGCAGTGGTTAGCAAAAAGGGACTTGGGGAGAAAAATCTGACATTGATAGGTCATTTTCTGGAGAAATGGAACCAAAAGTTCAGTGAACCAGCTGTCCTAAAGTTTGGGTCCACAGAAACTGCAAGGGGAATGCAGCTGAGCACGTTGGGGGCCAGGAGAACTCTGATATTTCTTTATGAAGAATTCACAGCAGCACATCTTCTATCTAGGGCTTTATCTAGTGGTGTGCTTAAGCTGGCTTCTGCTGGGTCCTAAGAACCAATTACTGGATTTTCAGGAATTCTGTGAGCTGGTTGCTAAACATGGCGATTCTTAAACATTAAATTATGTAAATTAACAATTAAATAAATCATAGTTAAAAATATGTTTTAAAAATCCTGTACATCTTCCCTTGGGTTGGAGGTTCCCCAAGACCACCTCCTGGTTCAGTAATTCACAAGGATCACTCACAGAACTCAGCATATAGTCCTACTTAGGACTATGATTTATTACAGGGAGGTTACAGAGCAAAATCAGCAAAGAGAAAAAGTACATGAAACCAAGTTCAAGCTTCCAAAGTCCTCTTCGTGTGGAGTCATTCAGGATGCACTTAATCCCCCCAGTAACAAGTCATGGGAACGTGTGAAATTTTTCTATCAGAAAAGCTCATTAGAGACTCAGAACCCAGGGTTTTTATTGGGGCTGATCACTCTGCCTGGCATGTATCAAAACTCCAGACTTTCCAGAAGGAAAGCATGTGTTCAGCATAAACAATATTTTCTCCACAAACAATTTAGGCACATGAGCCTCTTTCATCACTTCTGCAAATGGTGGGAATCCTCCCAAAGTGAAAGTTCCCAGATGCCAGCCAAAAGGGCAAGCTCGCAAGCAGGCCTTGCTCAAAAGACAGCAGTCAAGCCTGCTGTGTTACTCCTTTTTTTGCACTCTTCCCAACTTCACACTCAGTGACATTACTTTGGGAGCTTGAAATTGGCTATGGTGGAAGTATCTACACCACTGAAACTGGCAAATGCTACAAGTCGGGACTTCTTCTTTCAAAAAGCCAGCTGTTAAATGTTTGCCAGAATCTTATTGCTTATTGGACTTGGCTGGCCTTATTTGTGCCCTTTGCTCCCTCTGACTGTGGCAATCAGAGACCAACATGAGGAACTCCACCAGTGGGTTTTCCTATGCTTCCAACATGGTTCAGCTTCCCCCTCACATGAATTCTCTTCCTTTCACATCACTTTGTACAGGCACCAAGAGAACTGTTCAGATGGACCATACATTCTTCCCTGGCTACAGGAGGACCCTGCTAAGTCCAGAGGAGATACTCCTTTCCATAGAGATCCCCTTCAGCAGAGAGGTGAGATGTCGTCAGAAACTGGCCCAAATCTACCCCTTCTCCTCCCAGGCTTGAGAGTTTGCTTCAGGGACCAACTTCAGCATCTTTGAACTTTGTCTCAATCATATTTCTCTCTGGACAGTGAGAAGTTGCATGGTAGGGTGCAAAGCGTGTACAATCCTGAGCAAGTCACGTAATCTTTCTGAGGCCCTACTTCTCCATCTATAAAATGGGAACAATGTTACCTACCAAGCAGATGATTGAGAGGACTGAAAACAAATAGTTCTTAGGGTTCTGGGCAAGTGGCTAGAAGCCAGTGGAGATCACTAGCTGGTAGGGAGCAACACAAATCCAAGAACCACTCAGGTGCCAAGTCTCCCTGCCCCATGTCAGAAGAACCTGTTTTCTACAGTGAAGACTGCAGGGATGGCGTGTTAAGTGGAGAGGCATCGTGTGCCCCATGTCAGAAGAACCTGTTTTCTACGGTGAAGACTGCAGGGATGGCGTGTTAAGTGGAGAGGCGTCGTGTGAGTCAGACCCTCTATGCTGACCTTGGGCTGATGAGATGTTCATTCACTTGCTCTGGGCTGGCTCTGATGGATTTCTGTCTCATGAGCAAGTTTTCTGGCCTGGTTGGGCAGGTCTGGGCATTTCTGACTGCCTTGCTATTGTTCCTTAGGGCCTAGTGTGATTCTTCTCTCAGCAGCTCAAGACATGCTTCCATGATATGCCATTTTAGAAAAATGATCTGGGAGAGGTTGGGGACCCAGCTACAAAGGATTAGAATGAAAAGGTCCTGTATTTACTGCAGCTAATGTACTAGCAAACATTACAAGTCATGCTTTACCCTTTCTAATTTTGACCTCCTTAATGAGAACGCTAATTAAATCAGAGCAATTATGCCCCTGAGGTGGTTTCTTAATGATTTTCTAACTTGTCCTCATGGACTATTTTGAGCAGTGGTTCTCAGAGTCTTGAATTTCACAGATCAGTAAAATTTGCAAAAACATTATGAGGTTGGAGCTGGGAAAGAAATGGGCATAGCAGTATACAGTTTTTATTTGTCCATTCACAAACACAGAAACAAAACTTGACCTTGCACTTTTGCCGTAATCTCTTTCATAAGAGATTAAAAAGGAAACAGAAACTGTTGCCATTGAGTCACCTCCAATTCACAGTAACCCTGACTCACGGTGACCCCACGTATGTCAGAGTAGAGCTGTGCACCATAGAGGTTCCAGGCTGCGTTTTTGGAAGTAGATCACTAGGCCTTTTTGGTACAGAGCTTCTGGATGGACTCAAACCTCCAGTCTTTTGGTTAGCAGCTGAGTGTGTTAAGCATTCACACCATTCACTTTAATACTCAGAATTAAGAAGACTTCTGAGAGGATAGTTGGTGACCTAACTCTGGCATCTATCTTGTGGCACCCCAGGCGAAATGCTGGCATTGACTGGCACAGTGGAGTGAGCATCTGGAAACCTTTATTCCAGAATCAATTCCAAATTCTGGGTTCATTGTCCCAGGGCCATTTTTTTTTTTTTAATTGTGATTTGGGTGAAAGTCTACAGAGCAAATTCCCCTTCCATACAGCAGTTCACATACACTTTGTCTCATGACATTGACTACAATTTACCCCAATGCAACAGCTCCCCTCCCACTTCCTCCCCATAGTTACCTCTTCCCTGTGTCCATCCCTCCATGCACTCCTGCCCCCTGAGCTGTCTCCCTGTGCATAAACAGCCCTCTTTTCTCCCCTGATTGTTCTTTCCTAGGAGTGTATCTACCTCAGGTAAATGCTCAACTCATATGCCTGTCTTTTGTTTGGCTGGAAGCCACAGATGTGGGCTCAACTCCAGACCTGAAGGGCAGCTAGGGGCCATAGTCTCAGTGGTTCCACCAGGTTCTATCAGACCAGCAAACCTGGTACCACCCCCTCCTTTTTTTTTTTCAAATGATTTTGAGTTTTGTTCCACATTGTTCTCTCTATATATCCAGGATCTCCTACATAGATCCCTTTCCAAGTGGTTGACAGTGGTAGCTGGGCACCATCTAGTTCTTCTGGTCTCATAGTCCTATAGGCTGAGGATCGCATGGTATACCAGTTGCTTGGACTAATTGTTTCTGTGAATCTTTGGTTTTCTTCATTCTTCTTTACTCTGAATTAGGAGAGAACCATTGTTGCATCTAGATGGCTGCTGGCAAGCTTTTAAGATCCCAGTTGCTACTCACCAAAGTAGGAGGTGGAACAATGTTTTGTGTAGTATGTTATGCCAATTGAGCTTGATGTCCTGTCCCAGGGCCATTCTTGATACCCAGGAATCAGAAAGAGCTTTATCATCAGGATGATCTTAATGGCTTCTTCAAACAAGAGCCCATGGCCATTCTGAGACCTAACCAGAGTTGGGGTGGTGGTGGGGGGCAGATTTGGAGAGAGCACCTGCGATGGCCCCATGCTGAAGATGTGTTTTCAAACACCCTTTGGCATCTGATTGTTCCTGCTTGAGGGGCAGTGAGGCCACCAGGGACTTTGGCTCAGGCTCTGATGCTGGGCACAATGAGGGAGAGGACACAGTGAACTCCAAAGAGCCCTTGTTAAGACCTTTTCTCTCTTCCCAAGGTGTTTGCTTAGTTGAGGTCACTTATGTCTGCTGTGAGCCTGACTTCAGCTTTCCTGAATAATGGGGAGAAATCCTGACTCTTTTCCAGCCTCTGGGAATATTATCTGGAAGTCTCCTAAAATTATGATTGCCAGTTATGCTTTGGTCTCTGATTCCTAATACTCTCATACTGATTTAAGATGGTACTGTTCTCACCTCACCTCATAGCTCACCATCCAGGTTCATCATTTGCAGTCTTTACAGAACAAAGTGGGCAACATAGACATTTTTCTATTTTTATTATTATTTTTTTTAGGGTGAGTTCTTATCTGCATTCAAGCAGGCCTCTCGGAGAGAGGATGATATTGCCAAGGTGACCAGTGGCATGAGAGTTCTGTTTAATCCAGGAACCTCAGAGGTAAAGGAACTGGACATTTGCTATGGTGGAATGGCTGACAGAACCATTTCAGCCCTCAAGACAACTCGGAAGCAGGTGTCAAAGTAAGAACTCACAGCAAAATAGAAACTACTACTAACGCTTCTGCGGCTGCTACCAGTATTACTACAACTACTATATTGTTTTTGCAGCTACTACTGCTGCTTTTACTACTACTATTACTATTGAAACTCTACTAGTATTATTGCTACTATTACTGTTGTGGATACTACTAGCATTATACTAGTAATATGATTGTTCTTGCAAGTATTATTGCTATTTATGTTACTACTACCATTAATATTATTGCTACTCTTATTTCTACTGCTGCTGCTACTACTACTGTTACTATGGCTACTATATGCCACGCACTGTACCAAGCACTTCTTTGATATTATCCTATGTAATCCCTACAATAACCATATAAGATAGGCAAAGCTTCGTTTTGGAGTTTGGCTCCTTCTGTCCAATCCTGGCTCCAACACTTACCAGACGGATAGCATAAGTCAAGTTACTTAATCTCCTCATGTCTCAGTTTTCTCATTGGTAAAATGGATATAAGAAGAGTAGCTACTACATTAATTAATTTAAATCAAAAGTGATGATTCCTATACAGGACTTAAGACATTACCTAACATATTGAAATTATTATTATTTTGTGGTCTTTTTTATTGTCTCTCTTTATAAAGATGAGGAAAGTGAGAATCAAGGAGATTAAGTTACTTGCTTAAAGTCACAGAACTATAAGTATCTGAGCCAAACTTTGCATGGAGGTTCATATGATGATAAGGCCCTGGACACCACTGCTCCACAGAAGACGGCTCCTGGGGGTAGACGCACGTGCTCACCTATAGCTTGCTCTCTGGCAGGTTCTGGAATGAGGACCTGCTTCAGGATGTATGTGCAGGCCTGGCGGAGGAGCTGCACCTGCCACCCGATGCCCCTGGAGGCATGGTGGAGTTCCGGCGCACCCTCACCCTTAGCTTCTTCTTCAAGTTCTACCTGACGGTGCTTCAGAAGCTGGGCAGAGAGAACTCAGAAGATGTGAGTGAGGGGACTTGGCAAGACAGAAATCCTCTGAAGTATTTTTGTTTGGGGATTTAGGAAGTTGGTCTGGATGAAAGGGCATGGTTGATCCAATTGGTAAACTTGCTCCTCTCCTCTGGAAGTCTTAAGGCGAGGGAGCAGAGACCAAGAACACAACCCAGAAAGTCACCAGAGATGGGAGATAACCAGCTGACTAAGAGTCACAGCACTGGGCTGGGAGTTGGCATGTGGGCTCTTGTTCTGGCTATGTCATTACCTCATCATGAGAACTTGGATATGTCTCAGTTGTATAATCTGCAAAAGGGGACAGGGGACTAGATGATCTCTAAGAGCCCTTTTAGTAGTGTAGCTGATACAACTGTGGTTTTCTAAGTTAGAGTGGGAATGCAGAGTGTGATGGGGAAAGTGGGGTTGCTACAGTCAGGAGGACATGAGGACCTTTCTATGATGAGCATTGAGGAGAGGCACTGGCAGAGATGGAGCCCAGCTACTGGCATTTGATAGCACCTATCATCAGCTAGGGGTAACACAAATGATTAACACGTTCATTGTTAATTGAAAGGTTGAAGCCTCAAGTATATTCAGAGGTATGTCAGAAGAAAGCCCTAGTGATCTACTTCTGAAAAACTCAGCTGAAAACCCTGTGGAGTACAGTTCCACTGTGACATACATAGGGTCACCATGAGTCAGAATTGACTAGGCTTTAGTATGTAAGGCATTTGACTGCTAACCAAAAGGTTGGTGATTCAAACCCACTAGCCACTCTGTGGAAGGGAGACTGGGCAATCTACTTCTGTAAAGAGTTACTGCCTTGGAAACCCAAAGGGGGTCACTATGAGTCAGAATCAACTGGATGGCAGTGAGTTTGAGTTTTTTTTTTGGTTAACTATCATCAAGAAGGGGAGCCTTGGTGGCATAGGGCCTAAGGCATTAGCTAACCAGAAAGTTAGTTTGGTGGTTCAAACCCACCAGCCTCTCCATGGAAGAAAGACTGGGCAATTTATTTCTATAAAGATTTACACCTTGGAAACCCAAAGGGGATCCTTATGAGTCAGAATCCACTGGATGGCAGTGAGGTTTTTTTTTTTTTCCCTAAATAGCACTACTCACTTTGTTGTTGTTGTCATGTGCCGTCGAGTCGGACCCGACTCATAGCAACCCCTCCTTGGTTTCTGACGCAGTATCACTATGAAAGTAGATTGTCCCATCTTCCTTCTGAGGTTCAAACCCACCAGCCTTCTGGTTAGCAGTCAAGTGCCTTAGGCACTATGCTACCAGAGCTCCTACTCACTACGGGGCAGTATAGTGTGGGAGAAAATGCTGCCAGTAAAGGCCAACATAGTGTAGCTGGTAAGGAGCTCTGACAGTGCTTGGCTAAAGAGCTTAGCTGCTATCTGCAAGATTGGCAGTTCTAACACACCAGCTACTCCATGGGAGAAAGGTGTAGCAGTCTGCTTCCTTAAAGATTACAGCCTTGGAAACCCTGTGGGGCAGGAATTGACTCATTGGCTATGGCTTTGGTTATTTCGAGAGTGTGACAGGTGAGGAGCCAGAGTGTGGATGGAGCACAAAGGGAAGGCTTCACAGATGCTAAGATAGGAGAGCTAAACCCCTTATTTGAAAGCAACAATAATGCTTATTTTTTTTAAAAAAAGGATATGAATTTCTTTTAATATATAACTTTAAAAACATAGAGTTGTATAAAGAAAAAAATAGAATTTATCCTTACTCTCAGTGCTCAGAGAAAACCAGTGCCAATATTTTGGTTTATTCCACTGAATCTATTTCCTACACTTACCTGTCCATTTGTCTGTTGTTCTGTTTGTCTGCTCTCTCACTATATATATATATATATATATATTTTTTTTTTTTTTCTTCCATCTATCTTTCAATCTTGTTATTGTCTTACTATATATTGATCTGGGTATATCAATATCTAAACACATTTGGGATTATGCTGCTTATAAGAAGAAATCAGTTGCCATCAAGTTGATTGTTATTCATGACAACCCCATGTGTATCAGAGTAGAACTGTGCTCCATAGAGTTTTCAAGGCTGTGACCTTTCAGATGACCAGATTTTCTTCTGAGGCACCTCTGACTCAAACCTCTAACCTTTTGGTTAGCAGCCAAATGTGTCAACTTTTGCACCACCTCAGGGACACCATGCTGCTTATAGAGCTTTCTATTTCCCTTGGTCGGATGAGATTACATTGTGAACGTTTCCCATATTGTTAAATATTTCTTGGAGAATTGAGGAGGGCAAAGGAGACTTTCTCAGAAGGTCTGGGAGAGAAGGATAATCCCAAAGAAGAGAGCAGCAGGCATACATTCAGGAGCGAGAAATAGCTTAGCACGTTGGAGAAAGTATGAGCTGTGCATTATGCAGAGTGAAGGGTGGTTGAAGCTGAAGTTGAAGGTGTTATTGAGAACGTAGCTCCCAGAGCCCACATTTGGATGTTGAGACAGATGCAGCTAGTATGCAAAGGAATTTAAAATGAGATGAAGAGAGCAATTGTCAGTTTTATCACTTGGGGATAACCAAGGAAGAGAACAGCAATAAAAAGATAGTCATGGTTGCCTCTGCTGTCTTGCCTCCACAGAAGTGCAGCAAACTGGATCCTACCTTTGCCAGTGCCACTCTGCTCTTTGAGAAAGAGCCCCCAGCCAACGTCCAGCTTTTCCAAGTGAGTAGCAGACATTATGTGGCTATTGTCAAAGGTGTAGGCCACATTCTTCTGAAGAACAGATGGTGCTGACCACTGGTGAATGACCAATTTGAATGGTGTGTAAGTGCATAAAGCTCCTTACCCTGTACAAAAACATCCAGTGAAAACAATGGGCATCATACTGATGTCACTATAGATATCCACCCCTGCACACACACCCCAGGCTTGTCTAAGTTTCTTTTTTGGGATTAGACTCTTACCATCACTTTTTCCTTAAATAAAAATATCTTCCATCTTTTCTGGGCTGTCTTTGGGGTTAATACACAATGCCATAAGTCCTCTTTAGTCCTTAAAAAAAAAAAACCAAAAAAACAGTAATCTATCAACAGCAACTTTTTGAGAAGCATTAGGTGAGGGGTCTGTGATTGTGGTGCAAAATAAGCCATAGACAATACATGAATGAATGTGCCTGTGTTCAGATAAAACTTTACTTACAAAAACAAGTGGAAGGCCATATTTGGCCCATGGGTCATAGTTTGCCAATTCCTGGACTGGAGTATAATGGTTATAAGTATGAATACTGAGGTCTGCCTGGATCTGAATCCAAACCCTGCCATTTTGTAACTGTGGAAGCTTGGACAACTTACAAAATCTATCTGTGCCTCTTGGGCAAATTAATTGCCCTCACCTACAAATGGAGATTATGATACTGCTTGATTCATAAAATGGTTTTGAGGATTCAATAGGTTACTAAAAATAGATTGTTTAGAATAGTTCCTAACGCATAGTAAAAACTCAATAAATATTAAAAGTATTAATACTATCACTGAAAAAAACAAAGGCTTTTTATTAGAAAGTTAATAAATGTTGTGAAATTTTGAAAAGTATAGAAAAGTATAAAGAAGAAAATAAAAATAACACAAAATCATTATTATATTTTTGTTTACTTCTTTTCAATTTTTCCTGTGCAGATAGGGACAAGTATATGTTGTTTGTTGTTAGGTGCCATCAAGTCAGCTCTGACTTATAGCGACCCTATGAACAACAGAATGAAACACTGCCTGGTCTTGTGCCATCCTCATAATCCTTGTTATACTTGAGCTCATTGTTGCAGCCACTGTGTCAAAGCATCTTATGGAGGGTCTTCACCTTTTCAAAGACCCTCTACTTTACCAAGCATGATATCCTTCTCCAGGGAATGGTCCTTTCTGACAACATGAGTAAAGTAAGTGAGATGAAGTCTGGCCATTCTCGTTTCTAGGGAGCATTCCATATACACTTCATCCAGGACAGATTTGTTTGTTCTTCTGGCAGTCCATGGTATTCTACCCCAACACCACGATTCAAAGCCGTCAAGTCTTCTTCAGTATTGCTTATTCATTTGTCCAGCTTTCACATGCATATGAGACAATTGAAATAACCATGGCTTGGGTTAGGTGCACCTTAGTCTTCAAAGTGACATCTTTGCTTCTCAACATTTTAAAGAGGTCTTTTGCAGTAGATTTGCCCAGGGCGTTACCACGTCTGATTTCTTGCTGCTGCTTCCATGGGTGTTGATTGTGAATCCAAGTAAAATAAAATCCCTGATAATTTCAATCTTCTCTCCGTTTATCATGATGTTGCTT